ACTATATTCTTTATATTAATAAACTATAGTTTATATCAATAAACTATATAATTAATATTAATGAACTATAGTTCATATAGTTTATACAAAGTATATATAATATAGTTCATATATTAATATAGTTTATATAGTTTATACTAATGAACTATATAATATATATAGTTTATATTAATAAACTAATACATAATTTATATTAATAAACTATATAATATATATATATATATATAATATATATATATATGGTTTATATATATAATATATATATAGTTTACACATATATAGTTTATACATATAGTGTATATAGTTTATATAAATAGTTTGCATAGTTTATAGTAATAAATTATATTATTTATATATATATATATATATTAATAAACTATATAGTTTATATATAGTATATAAATATAAACTATATAGTTTATATTATATATATATATATATATATATATATATATATATATAATTGTTTTTATTTTTTTCTCAACTTTTGAAATGAATGTAATTTACTATATTTTCTAGCTTTCCTTTACATTTTATAATTATTTTGATTTAATCCTTTTGTTTTATTTAATTTATTTAAATTTTAATTCGTTCACTTTCTTATTTATTCAATTTACCTCTTAAATTTATATTTGCATATGAATTTGACCCGTTTTTATTTTTTATTTATTTTTTTGTAATTAGCTCATAACTTTTTTAAATGGGTATAATTTAATCATTTTTATTAATTTCAACCTCACATTTTAAAATTATTTTGATTTGGTACCTCATTAATGCGTGTTGTTTAATTTATTCAAATTTTTATTTGTAATTCATATTTGTTCAATTTAGTCCTTAAATTTATATTTTTTTATAAAATTGTTCCATTATTATTTATATTTTTAGTAATTTACTCTAAATCATATACAATTGCAAATTGCAATTCAATGTCCACGAAAGGCAAAAAATAATTAATCCAAAAATAAAAAAATGACTCGACATGAACTCAATCCGTATCCAGTCAAGATCCGACCTGAATTTTATCTGTCAATTATGTGATCCGATCTTAACGAGATCCAACTGAAGCCCTTCTGAAAAGATTTACGAGGTAAGATTGGAGTGTCGAGCTTGGTGTTTGTAATTTGGGACCTAGGTGAATCTTTAATAAAATAGGAATTCTGTAGAGTAGAGAAGAGGGAGGTGGTGTTGAATTTGGTTTAGCACTTTCTCGAGATGAATTGCTTTGTTTCAATGCTATTTTTCAACGGGGCTTGCAACAGCTTCATTAATGTAATCCCCTTTAACCCTAGTAGCTAAAAATTTAGTACAAAACTACTTTATATATTATACATGGCATTGTATCAAAAAATTAGGACAAAGGCAAGACCGGTACTTCAACTTTACTCCGAAAAGATTTACGAGGTAAGATTGGAGCGTTGAGCTTTTGATATGGTGTTTATAATTTGGGACCTAGGTGAGTCTTTTAATAAAATAGGAATTTTGTAGAGTATGTTTATTCAATGAATATGTTGTATTTCGAACAAAGTGTTAATGATTTAAAATGAAAACTTGTATGCGACGTGTGTTGACATTTGCAAGCTAGAGGTGATAATGCATGTGTTTGTGTTATTGGTAGTCATAGTTATGAGTTACTACGCATGAGTGCATTCTGGATTTGGTGCATTAATGTGCATTATTTGGACAATATAAGATGACATTGATGAATGAACATGTCAGACGAAACTAATAAGATACATGGCGTTTCGGATGTTTTTCGTTAGCTTTGATGTATGTTTCATGTTTAAATGTTTAACCATTCACTGAAATTCATAGTTCACACTCGTTGTTTAACATTTTAAAAAGTATTAAAAGCTAATTTCGAGGTTTGAGGAAAAAGCATTAAGTGGTGATCAACCAAGAGACCATTTGCTAAGTGTGTGTTAAATTTAATTTATTTTTTGAGGCAACGTGAGACTCTATGAGATTTAATAGCTTGATTGATATGTTGACATGTTAAAGATGTTCCTAGGACCTACAATGATATATGTGAATCTCTAATCATGATAAAATAAAGGATGATTGAATGGTTGATGTTGATTTGTATGTTTTCTAATATAATCGTGTATAAAGTGACCAATTTTTATATTATGTCTTAATTACATGTTTTGATCACTTAAACAAGTTGTAATAAGGTGACATAATATGTTAAACTCTTAGAAAGCGTGATTTGGTCAATAATGCACAAAAATAATTAGGTGATTTGTGTTAAAGTTGACTTTTTATGCAAATTTTGACTTTGAAAGCCAAATGTATATTAATTATCTGATGTAACGAAACATACAACATATGTGTTTTGGTCTCTTCTAAGTGGTTTAAGTATGTCCAAACATGATCATAGACCTAGGATCAATTGCATAATCAATTGGTAGCATGCTCTTGCATGTACATATGCATTTTTTACATTTTTCAAAAAAATAGATCGATCCCTTGTTGAATTTTGCATACTAGAATGCAAAGAATCGATCCCTGTGAAAAGGGATCAATCCCTTGTGTTTTTATTCGTCTGAAAATAGTTCAATTGCATTCATGAAAGGACCTAAATGTACTTTACGTCCTAGTATGTCACTAAGACCTTAGAATGAATTCAAATTGGTCCAGAATATCCTTAATTAATACTTGATTTTAACTCGAAATTGTTTGAGATTTGCTCTTTCGTACTCTAATTTACCTAATTACGTAATGGATTAGTCAATTTGATGTTTGTTGGTTGAATGCATATCTGGAATTGTTTAAATTTTAGTCCCTGGGTATGTATGTTTAAGTAGGTCCCTAAACGAAGTCCGGTTCTTCTGAAACTCAAAGTGTGATTAATTAATTTTTAATGACATGATTAATCTTAAAAATCCATTTCAAATTTGAGCACGTGTAATGAAAAGACTATATCACTATCGGTTAATTAGATGATACATGCAAATTATAAGACGAAAGTTCCAAAACTCTCGGCCCAGTTTCTGAGACATGAGGGGTGAAATATACAAATTACAGGGCATGGCTTTCGAAACTCTTGGACCAACTCCGACACTTTTCCCAATGAGTTCATAACTCCCTGTTTAATTCCAGAACATGTGGTTACAATGTGTTTTTAAACTTTAGGGTTGAATTTCAAAACTCATACTCTGATTTTGAAACTTCCTATAGAGGGTTGATAAGTGATCATTTTAGTCCTTTAAATTGATGATAAGTTCAAAATTAGTTAATATTAAATGTACCAATCGGTATATATGAGTAATAAAAGACTGCATGACTGAAATTGGTTAAATAGTTGAATCCTAATTAGATTTTGGTTAATTTACACCTTACTTCCTTAATTATTAAGTAATTATATATTAATCCTTAAACTTCTATAAATTTATAATTTGGTCCTTGGTGTACATGTTTAACACAAACAACTAAACGAACATATTTTTTATGTGTTCGTTTATTAAGGAATGTAGATTGTTCGTGTTCGTTAGTTAAAATGATAAACGAACGAATGAACGTAAACGAACATGAGCGAACGAACATAAATTAATTGAGTTTATATTTGAGAAGAGTTTTTTCTTTCCAAATAATTTTAGGATTTATATTTTATACAATTGATTTATGTATTTTTATTTGAGTTTAAAATTAATTTGATTTAAAATATAAATGGTTTAAGGTTAAAATTTATTAGGTCTTAATATTTTAAACAAGTTTGGAGATTTTACTGAATATAAACAAACAAACAAACATAAATAAACGAACGGATTGTCAAATGTTCGCGGACGTAAATGAACGAACGATTCATTTGTTCGTGTTCGTCTATTTAAATAAACGAACATAATTACATAAAATCTTGTTCATATTCATCCATTTAATAAATAAACGAACGTCAACAAATTTCTTACCGAATGATTCGTTAAACATTCGATTGGTTTATGGGGCTAGTCGCTATTGGCGCTGGCAGCGGCGGCTGCACTTTGCTTCTAGGATTTGGCATTTGGTTACCCTTTTGGTTCAAGACTTGGGCTTGGTACATTGTGCTTGAGTTTTATTAGCTTTTGTATTAGGGTTTGTTGACGATTTAGGTTTGGATGGTGGTGGATAGGCTGATGGGTCTGTGTAATGGGCTATCGTGCTTATGATTTGTAATGACTTGAAAAGCCTAACGTGAATATAACCGGGTTTTTTTGGTTCAATATTGCAAACGGGTAAATTATTTGAGAAAACAGATGATGAGTTCTAATAAAATATAATTTTTTTTTAAATTTTATCACATTAGGATAAAAAGTTTAAATAAAAAAATATTTTTTATTAAAAACTCATCACCTCGAGGAGACAAGTTTCAAGTCATTGTAACAAATATCGTAAATCCTTAAATAAACTTCTATATACCCTATTGAGCTAATTAATTAAACGGTTTGCCCTATTAAAACAAAAAACCCAATATAACTCATATCGACTTTATCTCAAAGGCCCAAAGCTCAAAAAAAATCGGACGAAAATCAATGTGAATGGATGAAATGAGAAGTAATGATTTTGTTGATCAACCCTCATGTCAGACGCGTTTGGATATAGATTCAAATATAGTTACTCGAATCCGAGATTTTTAGAAAGAATAATATTCCCTCTCAAGTTGTCTAACTTGAAATCACAATTAGAGATTTAAACTGTGGTTGTTATCCGTTTACAGTCACGTTGCGTTAGTCGCGATTGCGGAGTTAGCGAGGCTGTTACGGTCATTGTAGATATCACGAACCTGAAATATCGGTTTCAGACAACACTCTGTTGTAATATAGCAGTCACTATTCCAATAGCAGAAGGCTATTTGAATCCATGATCACAGTTTTAGGTGCTTATTGGAGCTTCGATTGGGAAATCACAATAAGCTGGTTCAAGTGAGTGTCAAACAGAGGTATAAATCCTAGAAAATTTTCTTTCAAGATCTTTAAGGATTTGAAAACTCTGATTCTGCAATCTAGGGAACTTTCTATTATCTCAGAAACCAAAAATGAAGATTACATACATTATTCATAAATCCCCTATCAAACAACAAGTCAATCTTCTTCAGTACTCTTAACAGGGAAAGTCTTAGATCCCAAATTTCAAGTTAAATCATATCATGCAGATTAAAACTAAGAACCCTTATTCTACAACCCCCAAAGAAAACCTAGAAAGATGCATTTTGCAACACAGCTAGAAACCATAAAATTTGGGGGCTTATTTTTCTTCTTCTTCTTCATGCTTTGATACCTTTGATTCCTCTAGCGCATCTTGTAATAACTTCACACCCTCGGTTGTACCGATTGGCTTGATGGCTGCCATTACAATCATAGTAAGAAGCACCTGGGTTGGCACACGGCACCATGTCCCTCCTCAGTGTCTCGTAGCTAATGTACTTCCTTTGCATCACCAGCACCCTCCTGTTGTTCTCCGACTCCATTTCTTCCTCTCCTAAACAATCTTCCCGCTTCTCACCACAAACCCTTGTCGCCATTACATCGATTTCGATGGTTTTGAGTGCATTGTCGAGGTCTAAGATCGAGACTGAAACACATGAATGGAGGAAGATGAAGGATAGAGAGAGCGTGAAGAAGATGAATTTGAATGTGGGCATTTTTTTCTGGGTTTTCTCGAGTTTGATTAAGAGATTTGGTGGTCTAATTTAGCAAATTCACGTGGAGTGGAAAAAGGTTCCATTTTTTTTTATGGATGAGGACAAGACGAGGAAATGCAATTTATATGGGCACATGCTACCCCACTTTGATTGGAAATAGAGTAAACAATGGAGTGGGAGGTTTTCTTCAATTTGTAAGGTTAATTCGTACCATTGTAATAGAGTTATGATTTTTGAATCATAAAAATAGTAATTCTTTTAAATACTTCGATATCAATTCAGATTTATTTGATCACATCATAAAAATAATAATTTTTGATAAATTAAAACTTTCAAAATTTCATATCTTTTGAACTATTAGAGTACTTGATGCGATGGTTGTTAATCTCGCCTTTGACTAAATCTATTATATGATGATTAAATCTACTCACCATATCAACTTACAAATAATCATCATCGCCCTAAATCTGAAACCAACATTAAAAGCACGTACATAAACAATCATGCAAAATTGAAAAAGATACTCATATCTTTCCATCTCTACCTCGCTCTCTAAGACTGTTTTTCATCATATTCTTCAAAATATTTATCTTTTTTGATTTACATCTATAGAATCACCGGTCGCGATTCTACACATAAATCAAAATGAATGAACCATTAACCATTGTTACAATCACCATTTTATCTTCAAAATAAATTTAAGTTTGATTCAAAATTTATTGAACATTGCTAGTGTAATTACAATTTACCACTTGATTCTTAATTTTTTTATAGTTCTATTTTTTTAAAAAATTGTTTTAGTAATAGTGTTTTCTGTTTAATAAAGTAGTTGAGTTAAATATATTGTGAGCTAATTATCTGGAGATACACAGTTGAGAAAAGGATGGTGTGATCCATCTGTTATGCACATAGCTAACATGTTTGGGGGGTTAACAACCCATTAACATCACCTCTCTATTGTGACAGACATACACATAAATTTATGTCAGAAATATGAAATTAGATAATCAATAAAATTACAAAGATAAATGGGAATGTTATGATTGCAAACCCATTAAGCATTTCCTGCTGTAAATTTGACCAAACAAATCAGACACCAAAAAAATGTTCCCTTTTGTTTTTTTGGTGGTTCATGTAATTATATAACTCTATCATCTCCTATGTAAATCCTTATCTGTAACTTTTAAGTTAAAGACAGCTAAATTCACACTAACCATATGATTCGGATTCCTTTTATTATTATTAAAGTACTTGTGTCTGACACGTGATCATGAATTCAAATATAAATATATAATAAGAAAATTTTAAAAAAATATTTATATTAGAAGCATACTCCTCATTCTGATTTTATACCAAGTCGAGATCATTTTTAAGCTATGAAGGTCACTTTTGGGCTGGGAGCTAGGATTGTTCTTAAGTCAATTAAATTCAATTCAAATTGTTTCATATCATTGTTAAACTCTGAATATAACCAAGAAAATAACTACAAGATTTAAGTGAAAAATTTTATGAGAAAACAATCACGGACAAAGGAGGAAAATTCAATATGGTACCAAAATCACAAGGATTTATTACTGTAAGACCTCTCATTAATTCTAAGTATGTGCCTAACAATAGTCTATTTATGAGAATAATTACTTGATGAAAAAGAAACCAAATATTACAAAAATGTCTTCTTTAATATGCTTAATTTCAGCCAAAAACCAACAAAAGTATATTTTTGTACGAGCTTTTCAAAACAAAATTCAAGTTACAAAACTCTTAACAGAATATAAATTACTTTAAACACAACAAAATATATGAACATTAATTCATATAAACTCTTCAAACATAGATACAAGTGCCACACAATGACTTGAAGGGGAAAATGAAGAGTGGAAATAAATATACACTGCACTGTCTCGCATGCCAGCGTACTAATCAGTAACAGTAATCATTCTCTAAGCACATTTTTAATATAATGATGATCAAATCAATGCAACACTTGATATATACAGATAATAACCTACTTGTTGCAGACGTGACGGAACAATCAATAACAGCAGAAGTTGATTTAGTCCAGGTCAGGTTCAAGCTTCAACCTTTTTTAGCTCATGAACTCGGAAAGTTCCAGTTTCACAATCACGCACACCAGCAAAAGCCATCAAAGTTTTCACCATCCGTTTCTAATAATTGACAAACTGCTATCATCATAATCCGACACTTTGTATATTCACGGCTATAATCAATTTAGAAGCTCTTAGTTATCTAGATCCAGTTATCTTTGCTTTATACTATGTAGTTCTCGTCTTATTCTCCTCTCATGTGTTTCTCTTAATTCCATTCTCTCATGACTGATCCTTTTGTCTCTAGGTTTACCAGACGCTATATTGTCCCTACTCTTCATTTTTCTTAAAATATCCATATACATGGAAATCTTGAAAATTTTGAACATACTCGTGTTAGACACATGTGCCCAATACACACAAGTCCAAGTGACATATATGAGAGATACCCGTTGTTTTTTTAGGAAGAGTAAAGGAAACCCAGACCTCAGATTCGATGTGCTACTAAGTATACATCTCTTGCTTAATGAAATGAGAATTAAGCATTCTTCTCTTGAAGGAATCACACACAGAGTTGCACTAAGAAATATTTCCTAGCACTGGTGACATGAAAGTATTTTAAGTGTTTATGAATTGGTCACCCGCCGCAGTTTGAACAATAAAAGCATATAGGATGAACAATAAAATGTCAGAGAGGATATAGGGAAAACGGTAAAAGGAATTTAAGGGAAATAACAATTCCATTTTAGCAGCTATTGCTGATAGCAGCTTTTCTGTCCTAATTTTAACATCTCTTCAGTGCTTTTGAAAAGCAAAATCATAAGCACCTGGGTAGTCTGATCATAACATTCATCGCACTATGCTAATGTAATTTTCAGGCCTAGGCGCAAAATATAGGGGAACTTTTTATGCTAAAAAGTTCATAAATCAATTTTGGTGTATATTTTATACTCAAAACAACATGATAATCATATTATAAATGTTTAAAGATCAAAATATTCAATATCATTGCACTAAAAACCTTAGTTTTAAAAAGCACGCCTAGGCGCACAAAAAACGCTTCTAGAGGCATAGGCACAAAGAGGCATGAAAAGCCCACTCAGGCGCGTGCTTTTGGAAAGGCACAAGACGCGAAGCTACTGACGCCTTAGAGAATTTTGATATGCAAGTATTTTTGTAAATAGAAAAAGTCACACGGGTTATTGCCACACTTTGACTTATTTGTTGAAGGCAGAAAAATCCCTTAGCTTGAGAGCATTGCCAGCCCAGCACCACCATAGTTTTCCAAGTCAATTGTTGCACTGAACCGCAAGGACCACTCTGATGTTGAAGAGAAGAAGAAGATGACCACGTACCAGGCAGCAGAGATTCGGTGGTCTTTGATGGTTCGATACGACGCTGGTCTTGGAAAATTCTGACGATGTTGGGCTAACGATGCCTTCAAACTTAGGGTTTTCTCTCTCTTCAACAAATGAATAAGTCAGGATGGGGAGCTGGGGTGGGGTAGTAACCCACGTGACCTTTTTTATGACATATCCAAACTCCCTAAAACGCCAAAAGTGTTGTGCCTTTCACCTCTTCAAAAGGCTCCAAAAGCCAGGATGCAAATCACGGTCGCATTTACCATGTGGCCATAATGGGCGCTATTGCAGCCATAGCAAGCGCAATTGCTGGTATAGCGGGTATATCGGAAGGCAACGCTACCGCTATTTCGCGGTCGCGGACCGCTATTTAAAACCCTGCCAAAAGCACACACCTGAGTGGACTTTTCGTGCCTCACTACGTCTATGCCTTTAGAAGCGTTTTTATGTGCCCAGAAATGCTCTGCGACTTAAGCACGTTCATGCGTGGTTTTTAAAACTAAGGATGAACCTACCTTCTCAAAAGATTTAAGATCTCATATCGTGCATAACATTCACTACATTTGAGAAAACCATGAGAGTGGAATACAACACTATGAGTAGGCTGAAAAAAAAACAAGCATAATACTTCGGTTTCTCAAATCAAGCGTCTTTTGCTTAATAACTGAAACCTCTACATATAAAATTAACATCAAACTGAGCAAACGCAATTCAAACCAATTTTAGGCTGTTACATATAAAATTATATCCTACATGTATATTAATTATAAACATCACAAAGCTATAAAAGGAGTATGACAGACCTGTATAGAGTTGTCATGGGATTGAGGTAAAGTTGGCAACTTTTCTACTCAAAGGCTAAGCCGCTCCATGTTCTTAGAATTTGTATCTAGTCCATGGCCAAACCTTTTATCTTCTTGCTCTTCGTATGGGTTTGCTCGAAAATTGGAACTAGCCTCTTCATTGTTAGAGCAACCAGGTCTTTCAGTGAGGAACTGTTCCCAAAATACATCATTCACTCTAACTGTAGGAGCTGCAGCCTCTTGATTTTTAGTAGGGCATTCTTTTGATGAAGATAATTTTGCTTCCCCATCAATCATGTTTTGGCTGTTCTCGAAAGCTGTAGTTTCTAAATCTTTAGTGTTGACATTAAACCTCGACTCAGGGACTTCTGCATTTTCCTTATCTAGTTGGAGCATCATAGTTAAGCTAGGACTTTTATTGATTTGCAGTGAAGAAGATGCCAGAGTGAGATTTAACTGGAAGGAAATATGACTATTGGTTTCTTCATTGGAATTTAATCTCTGGTGCAGGGAATTCACCATTCGGCTTTCATTCATCGGTACTCTTAGAGTGAAAGATGAATCCCTTTTGAATTTAAAAGATGTGCTCGTATCTGAAAGGTCTATACATTCGGGTGCAAATAAAAGACCCTCTTGTATGTTCTGAGCATCTTCCGGTTCTCCTTCCGATACCCTTTGCCGTAGATTTGCACCATCTTCATTAGAACTTTGCATGCTACAAGAAACCAAGTTAATATCTGATACAGCTGGTGATAATTCTAGTCTTAGCTTGTTCGAGAAATCTTGGTGGAAAACATTTCCAAAGTCAGGTCTAGAACTACAATTATTATCTAAAAGAGTATGTCCTCCAGCTGCATTAGCTTGATGACCAATGTGAGGCAGTCGTCTCTTCTTATTATATGCCACAGCATCCATAGATTCGATCTTACGAAGAAGATATTCAGCAAAAGTAGGGTCACGGACAGCCTTTTGTAAAAAGTTAAACAGTGTATCTTGCCTCTGCTCCATTTGATCAGCTCGTTGTGTCAATTCTTCCAATTCATGCTTTGCAGTCATCCGTTTTTGTCTAAACCTCTGAACAGTAGCCTCCAGTGAAGCTTTCTCACGTGAATGCTTTTCTATTTCTTCTTCATATCCAGCTCTTTCTGGATCTACCAAACAACCCTGAGGATTACTGTGACTGTGAATAGGCTTTCTACGGTGGATATTCTTAAGAAGATGCTTCTGTTCTTTCACGAAATCTTCGTTACCGAATTCCCACCTTTCGGGATCAATCTTGTGAAACCCCTGTCATCAAAATTTAATGCAAATATACTCAGACTTTGTCCAAACACTGCAGTCCTTATGCATTACACCAAGTAACCTAGACCTCAAATAGATCATTACATTATTCTTTCAACCACCTATTACAGCTCCAGCAGAGTTATGTTGCTTTAGGAGAAAGGCAAAGCTAAGGAAATAGGAAATACAAAAGAATCATGCATGACTTTGGATGGACATGTTTAAATTTCAGTTGAGGCCACGTTTTCAGTTGCCTATCGCGATATTGGACATAACTGACACTATTGCGGTCACTACGGGTATTGCGGCCGTGTAATCAGTTTCAGAGGCACCATTTACTGCTATATAGAGGCTGGACAGTTATTTAAATCCCTATGGCCATGCTTTTGCAAAATTGATTCATTTATATAGATCAAGAAGCAATAAGCAATCTAATTGACCATGTTGATATTCATAATCCATTTGAAATCCAATGTGTTTAACCAATTTTCAGGAAAGAATAATACAAAGGGTAAAATCACATGCTTAAGAAATAAATTTGAACAAAATTCAATCCCATATATTTATCAATTAACAGGTCTGTCGATCGCAAAAGAAATGCAAATAAAACACTATATTTAAACCCAAAGTTCCCATACTTATCAAAACCCAAAGTCAATAAATAAATAAACAAAGAAAGAAAGAAATGCCAAAAAAGATGAGAAAAGAAAACCCACATAAGTATTAAGCTGCCTGATGAAACTGGAGAAGTTGTTGTGCTTGAAATAAGTGGGAAGCAAAAGGCGGGCAAATTCAGGAGGGTTCCAAACTACAAAGCTGGTTTTCTTGGAGCTCCATGACACGATCTCGTCGGTGGATGAGTCGTCCACCATGTCGTATGTCTTTAGAAGGAAAGGTGCTGGCCCTCCGCCGCCGCCAGATGCCGAGGGTGCGGTCTGGTCCATTTTGAGAGGCGCTTATTTTTCTGGGTTGGTAGAGGTAACTTATGGCTTATGAAAAGAGAAGGGAGCCGGTGAATCGGGTGAAAGCGTCAAGTGGACGAACTCCAGAATAGAATTTCAAAAAGTTTATGCAAGGCCTATTTCAAAAGCGCAACGTGGAAAAGTATCAAATTTTTTTAGACATTTAAAAAAAAATTAAGATTGGGTAATTTAATATAAGATAAATATCTAAACTATTAATTTTGATTCATTTTAATATTTAAACTTTTAATTTTTTTCAAAATCATACTTTGCGTTTAGTTCTTATTTCATTTATTACCTCACCGTTAAAAAATTAACCACAATGTATTTTTATGGGTAAATTACATCACTCATCAGTTAATTATCTTTTCACTCCTATTTTGGTACTAAAGTTTAAAAAATATTTAATTTAGCTACTCAACTTTCAAATTGCTCCTATTTTGATTATTCTAATTTATTTTATTAATAATTTTTATGATATGAATTTTTTTTTTATTATTTTATTAATATATAATTAAAAATTAAAAATAAATTTGAAAATTTAAGTAATTAAATTAAAAATAATAAATTTTAGTGACCAAAACATGAATGAGAAGAAAGTTGAGTGATGAATGATGCAATTTACCCATTAAAAAAGGTGTCACGTGTAAATCACCCATTAAATTTTTAACAGTCGAGTTACTAAAACGAAACAAAAACTAAACACTAAATGTGTAATTCACACTTTTAAATAATTATATAAAACTTTAAAAAATAATAAAATATTTATTTTAAAAATTAAAAATATATTGGTTTAAGATCCTTTATTTTGTAATTCAATTTCAGAAACCATTTGTTCTTTGTTTGTTTTTTTTAATGAGGTGGAGAGATATTACACTTCAAAACTAAATATCGGAGTTCGAATCAATACAATGAGTATTCTTATTTGCTGCCTATAAGAAAGCAACGTTATTAAAGTTTGTATCAACCTCTCCATTTCATTACAAATCACGGGAGCATCTCTTTGATATTTGACAATGATGCTGATAGTTTCTTTAGTCATTCTTTTATGTGATAAGGGAGCCCAAGGTATTTTCTTATATCATCAACTTGAGTAAAACCAAAACATGTTGCTTATACCATGACATAATTGTTCCACCACATTCTTAGAGAAATAAATGTCCCTTTGAACTAAAGATTTGTTTGATAGACTGTAATTAGTTTTTTTTTTATTTACGTAAAATAAATTATTTGAAAACTGTTTTACGTAAAATGAAAATTATTTTATGTAAAACGAATTACATTTTTTGAAAAACTATTTTCGGAAACTATTTTATGGTGTTTTGATGATATTGTGTAAACCATTTTCACTAATTGTTTGATATACTATAATTAATTTTATAGAAAATTAATTATTTACATAAAATGAATAAAGTTTGGTTCGGTTAATATTTTCAAAAAAAATTGATTCGATTAATGATTAAAGAAACAAGTTCAGTTAATGATAGTTCAATTCGATAGGTGGCTGAATTAATCATTTGAACACCATTAATTTTAATTATTAGTATTTTATTAACATAATACTAAATTATTATATTAATATAAATATAAATTAATATCATCATTATTAATAATTTTATAATATTATATTTATAAAAATAATAGATAATATTAATTATTTATTATATATTACTAACTTAAAAATATAATATTATACTATATTTGAGTACATATTAATATAAGGGTCTGTTTGTTTGCCGTAAAATGAATTACGGAATTGGTTTTCCCCGAAATCTCATGTTTGCTTTATATAATTCGTTTTCCGGAAAATGTTTTTTCGTGTTTGTTTCACGTAATTCGTTTTTTGGAAAATATTTTCCAGTGTTTGGTTGGAGGAAAATTGGTTGGTCAACGTAATTCATTTTCCTGGTCAACAGAATTTCCTTTGTGTTTTCTGGAAAATGACTTATGGTCTGATTTTCCGTAAGTCATTTTCCGAACTTTTCACTTCAAATAAAATAAAATAATAATATTATTCATTAATAAATATATAAAAAAATTTCATTATTAAATATATAAAAAATTTATTATATATTATTAAAATAAAATAAAATATCTTATATTATTATAATATAAATAATATATTCATTATTAAATAATAATAATGAAAATGAAATATTTTAAATATAAATAAAATAATATTATATAATATTAAAATATAATATAATATTATTAAAATAAAATAAAATAAAATATATAAAAAATAATATTATATTATTATATAAATAATATTATTCATTATTAAATATATAAAAAATTTATTATATATTATTAAAATAAAATAAAATATCTTATATTATTATAATATAATTGATTATTTTATATAATATTAAAAATATAATATAATATTATTATAAATATTAATAAATATATTTTAAATATTTTAATAATTAATATTTTGATGAAAAAGATATTAGAATATTTTATTAATATTAAATTCATAAAATAAAATTATTTTGAGTATTTTTGCTTTGAAGTGAAAAGTTCGGAAAATGACTTACGGAAAATGAATCCGTAAGTCATTTTACAGAAAACACAAAGGAAATCTTGTTACTAGGAAAATGAATTACATTCCGGAAAACGAATTACGTGAAACAAACACAGGAAAACGTTTTCCGGAAAACGAATTACGTGAAACAAACACGGGAAAATATTTTCCGAAAAACGAATTACGTGAAACAAACACTGAAATTCGGGGAAAACCAATTCCGTAATTCGAATTACGGGAAACAAACAGACCCTTAATTGGTTTGCATGTTCCACTAGCAACTGCACATTGAATAGCTTGAACGAGCCTTTCTATTCATAGAACAAATAAACATGATAAGACTGGACCACCTTGACGAATCCTCTTAGATGGTTCGAAGGATATTATAAAACTATTTCGTAAATTATGATATTCTACGTAAATTAATTAATTTAGAGACCACTCATTCATTTCTTAATTATAATTATAAATATGAAATCTGTGTTGAAACGAAATTAACAAGATTTTCTTTTCGTCTATTGAAATAAACACAAAAATCACTTACTCTAATACATAGTAACATGTATTACTAAAATTTTATTCAAACTACATAAGAGAATAAATATTTTGTTCTGGCAGTTTCAAGCTGGTGTAAACGTTAGTTGGAGCATAAGAAGGCTTTTAAAATTGCGGACAGAAGCTTCTCCAATTATTTCAGTAGATCCTGTGCAAACAAGGGACATATGGGACCTGATCCGATTCAAAGAACAGAAAGTAATTTGGCACAAATTAATTTGGTTCCCATTACACATTCCAAAGTTAAGTTTGATTGCCTGGATGATAATACTCAACCGGTTGCCAACCAGAGACCGACTCAATACAATGGGAATTTGCACTGATCTCCACTGTGTAAACTACAGCACTAATTTGGAGTCAAGGGACCACCTCTCCATGCAATGCCCACTGGCAGCAGCTCTCTGGAATACCATTCTGAAGCTTAATGGGATGAATTCATCTTCCATGACATGGGTTGAAACGGTTTCAAAGGCTTCTTCTACATGGAAAGGAAGGTCACTCCTTACCACCATTTTGAAAATTTCTTGGACTGCATTTCTTTACTTCATCTGGCAGGAAAGAAATCAAAGAATCTTCTTGGGACGTCATAGAACGGTGGAATGCTTGCTCAAGGAAGTTAAAGACGTTGTTGGAATTCGTCCTAGGGGTACTAATATTAATAGACTTGATAGTACTAATCTTAAGCTTTGTGATGTTTGATGTATAGTCTAACCAATCTTTTTGTATAGGTCGATTTCTTTTGATTTTTTTTACTGTTGATTGGTTGTACTTAAACTTTACTTTGGGTAATAAAATTCTGACTTATCCAAAAAATTATTTTATTATATTTATTGATGATAACACAAAATATTGTTACATATATCTACTTAGAAGTAAAAAAATAAAGATATAGAAAATTTGATATTTATAAGATGGTAGTAGAAACTTAACAAAAATATTAAAATGGTGAAAAATGATTATGATGATGAATACGTTAAATCATTTGATGAATATTATATACAACATGGTATTATTTATGAGGTGACAACACCATACCCTCTTTAATCAAATGAAACAGCGTAGTAGAAAAATCGAATTTTAAAGAAAATAATGAGTGCAATGTGTTGAGTTAATCGATTGACTGAATTGGCCAAGAGGGAGGTGAATTGGCAATAAAAATTTTGGTGGAAGCTTTTGCAGAAAATTGAAAGAAATTGCACAGCGATTTAGAGTGGTTCGACTTTATCAACCAAAGTCTACGTCCACTACCTTAGCTATCCACACTAAGGATTTTCCAACAAATTCACTAATTTGTTCTTTCTTTTGAGGCCAAAGAGATAACCTTACAACTCCCTCAAGAATATACCCCAATTCTTGAGAACACTCTTTTCTCAAAGAGAAATACAAATTTGCAAACTTACAAGAAAAACCTCACAAGACAAATATGTTTGCACAATTCTAGAACAAAGAAAGAACACTCAAGAATAAATACAATTGAGCACAATAAGTGTTCTTGAAAGCAAAATGAATATTGAATGAAAAATAGGCTTGAAATGCTCAAACTTAAGGTTTGATGCTTTCTCTTTGATTCTCTCTTGATTCTAATTGCTTGATGTTTCTTGTTATTGATCAATGGCTTCTAAGCTTGCTTAAATACACCTTGAATCACTTTTGAACGTTGGGGATAATTAGAGAAAATAATATAGCCGTTTTAGTGTGAAAACAATTAATAAAACAGTTTGGAGCGTGGGGGGAATCGGTACCCCCTATGGGGAATCGGTTCCCTGAGTGTAAAATTCAAATATTTCGACCGTTATACAAGGGGGAATCGGTACCCCCTGGGGGGGGATCAGTTCCCTCCGAGCATACTGGAATTCTCGGAGCCAAACCATTCAGGGGGAATCGGTACCCCCTTAGGGAGGGAATCGGTTCCCTCTGAGCAATCTGGAATTTTTGGTTTTGAAATGGTTCGAAAATACTTTGTAAAATTATTTTGAAATTGTTTTAAGATTAAAACTTAATTTTACACTTTGACTAAGGATTAAAAATGATCTTTGAAAGATTTAGAGTAATGTTTTGATATTCGAATAATTCTATCGAATATACTTAGAAAATCATTTGGAAAATCTTAAAATTCATTTAACTTAATTTGTTATATCGAAATATCAAAATGTTTTCAACAATTTCCCCATTTTTAATATAACAAAACATTTTAGTAATTTTAAGATTTTGAAATCAAGTTTTGAAATTACTCCCCCTTACTTTAACACTAACACTTCTCCCCCTTTTTGTTAAATCAAAAAGACATTTTAAAGAATTTAAACAAGGTTTTGAAATCATTTAGCCAATTGATTATATATAATATAAGCTACTAAGATCACAAGCAAGAGAAACGTTAGCCATTAATTTCATAATCAATATTCATTAATAATGTGAAATGGCAAAATTGGTCATTTATCTAATCATGAAGTAAATGATGTAATCCAAATAGATAATTTCTAAACATTCATAAAAACAAATTCAAAGTCAATCAATCCACAAATTCAAACATTCAAAAATATTCAAAATGTTAAAACAATAAGTTTGGAGTTTAAAGCAAAACATAGAATCACATATCCGGATCAGGAGGAGGAAAACGAGCTCGCATAGCGGCCATTTCGTGAGTGAGGTCATTAATACGCGCGTTGGTTGCTTCATTGTTTGCACGCATCTCCCGAAGAATTTCTAATTGTTGAGCTCCCATTGTGGATAAGTGGGACTCTATAGAAGAAAAGCGTGAATCCATGATAGATTATCGGAAATCGAATGTCTCCATAAAGGATTGGAAATATGGAGGCATTTGATGCGTTTGTTGTGCTTTCTCTTCGGGCTGCTCCTCGGGCTGCTCAGGCTCATCTTCGGCTTCATCGATGTCTCGCATTAATTGCTCAAGCTCGAGATCTCGTCAGCTTCGGGTGGAGATTGGGAGGAACTAGCTCCCGGAGTATTTGCAGAAGATCGAACCCATTCACCGGTTTCCTTATCCTTAATCCATCCCTGTAACACCCTTAACTCATATCCGACCCGAATACAAGTCCGAGGTGTCACATTGACTTTTCAAACTTTGACTCTTATAGAAAATCACGGGAATTTTTAAAACTTTCATTAAAACGAAATACATTAATTTACATAAAACCATAAAATACAAAATCGATCAGAGTATTCGTAATTAACACTTATTACATGCCCACATTCTATACATAACCAAGTACATACTTTGTCAATTACTTCTGATCTGATCTCTTAGTAGTATTGTTGTCCGTGCTACTTCTATTTCCACTTTTCCTGATTCTTTGTACCTACGTGTAAATCACTTACACGCTAAGTCATAGACTTAGTGAGGCAATAAATGAATATGCAACAATAAACTTATGAATGTTCATACTTACCATTGGATCATGACATTTCAAGATGCATGTATCTATCACACGATAACATATATAATCATATAATACACATACGAAACTTACCTTCTTGTATCACTTTCACTTTAATTCGGTATTTCAATTGTATTGCCCATGTATATTATTGAGAACAGAGGTATGTGAGTGCATTGAGGTTGTGCACTAATGCTGTCACCACAGCTCGTATCAATTCCCTCATGGGGCACCGAACCTTAGTTCAGTATTCGTCCCGAAGGACCACGATCCAGAGGTCACAATATAAACTATTCATATGTGCCTTTAAACATATGTAAACTGTTTATATGTGCCTTTAAACATATATAAACTGTTCATATGTGCCTTTAAACATATGTAAACTGTTTATATGTGCCTTTAAACATATGTAAACTGTTCATATGTGCCTTTAAACATATGTAAACTGTTCATATGTGCCTTTAAACATATGTAAACTGTTCATATGTTCCTTTAAACATATGTAAACTGTTCATATGTGCCTTTAAACATATGTAAACCCTCGACTCTTGGCCTGCCAACTACACCTATAGTTCTCATATCGTATACTATGGGCATTATTCTTATACCTTTCATATCACTTGTTCTTTCTCTTCTGTCACATACCACATGTATGTGTAATTATATATTTCATAACATATCACATGTATCACAAGTGCATACATTCACGTAGATCATGTAGCTCATATCACTTAATTCATATCATGTTCTCATATCACATATCATATCACCATAATTATCATGTATGCATGTTCACAATCATTGTATTATAAAAATCAACATAAGGATTAGACTTATCACAAGTCTTATTCCATTATACTATACATATAGTATGCACTTACCTTAGCTTTGCTTTGTTTCGATTCTAATCCTTTGATCGTTCCGGAATAAGCTTACTTTTAGTATCTACATAATCACACATGGATCTATATCAGTATTATAACTAATATACTCTAATGGTTCACTCTTTAGACTAAGAGAAAAGTCAATTTCATCTTTTAATGAAGGTATGCATCGATGCACTACTGATGCATCGGTGCATAAAAGGTATTCGATTTAGTATTATTGCTGGGATGCATCGATGCACTCCTTATGTATCGATGCACCGATTGCATTCGATGTTTCATTATTAATGGGATGCATCGATGCACTACTTATGCATCGATGCACGAATTGCATTCGATGTCTTTATTTTAAAAGAGTGCATCGATGCACTATCAATGCATCGGTGCACATTCAAATAATTTCTGGGTTTTAACCTTGATGCATCGATGCACTATGAATGTGCATCGGTGCACTCTACCCAGAATCCTCTTTTTGAGCCTAAAAGTTCATTCATTTTAGATTAAATCCTTCATGTTTCATCCACTTTTTCATTCTTAACTCTAGTAAACATCCTTAAACCAATTTATACTTATTTATTTCATCTTTAACCTTCAAATCTTATCCTTCATATGAAATTCAAGAATTACATCAATAATCCAACATGTTTGAATTCCACTTTTAACACTTCATATATCTTAACTAGATTGATGACAAGTCAAATTTAACTTTCAATTCTAGTTATGAACTCTATTCCAAGATTTCATTTAAGAACTTCAAATCTTAAATCTCTCCTAACTCCATCATCCTTTGATGTTAAGATAACTTAAGCTTTCCTTTAGCTTAGTTATCATCTAATGATCAAAACCCAAATCTTAAAATTAACAAATAATTAACTAAGTAGAAGACTCACCTTTGAGCTTGGAGATACGGGAGGAGAGGAAGAAGAAGGAGAAGAAGTTCTAGAGATCCCTACATGCTTATCTCTTAATAAAGAGATAAGATAATTATCTTTTAGATAAAAAGACCATTTTGCCCTTTAATTCATTCAATAATTACTAAAACTTTTAGGATTTATCTACAGATAAATCATTAAACTAATCCATTCTTCTATTTTAACCACTAAATTATGAAACTTTACTATTTAGTCACTAACCCATAGTTTGGGATGTTACAACTCTCCCTCCCTTAAGAAAATTTGTCCTCGAATTTTCATTGCACAAGAAGATAAGATACTGCCTATACATCCATTATTTCTTTTCCCATGTTACCTCTTCAATAATTCTTTCGTGCCATCACAACTTCACTTCATTACTTTAATCATTCCTTTACCTTTTTCCTTTATGCTCTCACATTCTTTTAACTTAATTACTCTTACTATCATACCATTTTATTATTCAACTCATTTATTATACAGTAAACGGTACCTGCTATTATCTCCAG